TCTCTATCTGCCAGCTGTCATGAAAAATAAACGGTAAAAATTACCAACTTCATGTTTCTATACTCTAATCTGAATGAGCACACTGGACCTAATTTTAATTAAAATTTCACTGGAATTAATCAAGCATAAGACTCAACCGCTTAAATTAGTTTTTGTCTCCAGGAAGTAAATAACTATAATTTGGCATCTTAATCAATAAATTAAAAATGTTCTTTACTATTTTTTCTTCTTTTTGAAAAACATTGAATTAGAAAATGCATGGACGACAACAATAATTACATTTTAGCAGTAAAAAAATAATTTTGATTAAAAGGCTTGTGCATACTAGTGATACCAGCACAAAAACCATTTTGGTAATTACTAATACTGTTAATTTAGGACAGCCGTGGTATAAACCTCACATTTGGTGGGGGGCTAATAAATTTCCATTACACCATATATAATGTGGAATGAAGAAGTTTCTTTCAATTAGGATACTTTTTAATATTATTTGATCGTAATTAGAAATCCTAGAAGGCAGCTATTTTAATATACAGTAACAGTCATATTATTAAAAAACCCTGTAACTGTAATCAAATTGATAGGAAAACAAAGTAAAACAGTTAAAATAATTGAATAAGCTAAATGCACAAAAAATGTTGAAGATGCACTCACCCTGTATCTGTTGGTTATGTGAGTAATTGGCAATAAAACGTACCAACATGAATATTAAACTGGAACGTGTCTATATATATGTAAGAGAGCTAGAGGCTCTAAAGGTGTGCTTCAATGCTTGTACAGCCAAAAAAGCATCTCACATTAATCAGCTGAAGAATTCAAAAGGCAGGATCTGCTGCTGTCAAAGTGTTCAGGAAAAAGAGATCACATCTGGCGTCGTCTCTGACCTAACTTTACAAACTACTTTGTAAGTCAAAGCTTTAAAGCATAATGAGCGTCCAGAGAGGCAGTCAGCTGAAATTCATTTTTAGGTTTCTCAGCATGTGGAGCATAACTAAAAGCTCCTCATCATATCCTATTGCTTTCTCTGTCTTCTCTTGCCAGGCTTTGCACGTAATCTCTCTGAGGGGACTGACGCCAATTACACCGAGTATGTGGCCACTAGATGGTACCGGTCTCCGGAGCTCCTGCTCGGGTACGCCTGCTATTTTTTTACGTTTTCCCTTTAAGCTCTGTCCAGTCACCACACTGACATAAATTCTTATTAGCTCTCATTATGCGTGGCCTCTCACCACCCTCTTAAATCTGCGGTCTCAGGGCTCCTTACGGGAAGGCGGTGGACATGTGGTCAGTGGGCTGCATCTTAGGAGAGCTGAGTGACGGGCAGCCGCTGTTCCCGGGAGAGAGCGAGATCGACCAGCTCTTTACCATCCAGAAAGTGCTGGGACCTCTGCCACCAGAGCAGATGAAGCTCTTCTATAACAACCCTCGCTTCCACGGGCTGAGGGTAACTTCAGGCCCCCCCCCCATACTCTGCTGACCCATCCCTCCATGCTGCTCTTATCACTGCTTTTCTTTCCTCTCTCTCTTTGCTGTCTCTTAAGGCCTCCTCCTCCTCTGTTTCTTCTTCCCTTATTTATTTTCTCTGTACACTCTCTTCTCCTTCTTCTTCTTTTTTTTCTGGCTGAGTTTGCTGTGCCGTGACTGACTGGATCACAATGACTCATCGTGTATCATGTATCCTGTATGCACTGTGAAGGAAGGCTGTGATAAGTCTTCTGTGGCAGGCTGGTGGTGCAGCAGACCCGGGTCGTCCTTCCCTTCGCCTCACTGCCCACAACCCAGGATTTAATTATTAGTTAGCAAACTCCCCCTCTGTGAATGCCTGGCAGTGAATACCCAGTGATAAGACCACTTCTTGATTAAGCTGCATAATAAGCGAAACGCTTTACGGTCTACACCTTGAATTTTCAGCTTCTATCCACCTCTTAAATACCCAAGTTGTTGTTCCTCAGTAAAATCCTTGCTCCGGTAAAGACAGGCACATGTTGGCCGTGTCTGTTTCTTAAAAAAAAAAAAAAGCGCCTGCTATTGTTAGTACTCGCTCAAGGGGAAAAAAAACAAGCTCTACCTCCACATTTATGTGCTTGTTGTCGTTTAAATGAGATTCTGCAAACTTCGCTGATCCCTGCACATTATCGCTCACAGTCAGATCATCCTATTAACACCACGAGAAGGGAGAAATAGTGTTTGATGGAAACACGCATGCTGTTTTTATTAAAATAAATCAGACCAGCAAGAAACCACACAACACTTCTGAGTGAGCAGTGGACGCTTGATGGTTGTTTCATCACGTTTCCCACCTACGATGTGCTTTTCTGTAACACTCGGAAATGTGTGATGTAAAAAGAACGGCTTCTGGACTCTTTTTTTTTCCCCCTGCAAACAGCAAATTCAAAATATTCAGAGGAACAATTCTATTAGAAATGAAAGGTTGACAATGGAGGATTTGCACGTGATTGAAATCACAAGTTGTGTATTTGGGCATTTCTAAAAGATTTCACCAAAGCATTGTCATGGTTACAGGATTTTCCAATCAAGCTTAGAAAAAGATGTTTTCAATACCAAATCCGATTATACAGAGATACAAACAAACCTGTCACAGGAGACAACAAGTAAACGATGTTCGACAACAGCACCGATATTAAAATATAAGGTAACAAGGACTCACAAGATAGGGCTACAATTCCAGGAGTTTCTTTTTTATTGGGTAGCATTCAGGGGACCTAGAATGAGGCAGAGTGTGAATTGGTGAAGAAAACACTGGGTCATGTGCAGCCCTATGTACTGATAGCTTGTCAGCTACCTTTATTAGCAATAAGGTGAAGTAATTAGTGTCACTGTGGAGGATTTTTATCCTTCTTGACAACATTGCTTCGGTTCATTGAGGTTTACACGCATCCGCTCTGTTAAGGTCCAGACACAGCACATGGCCTTTGATTGGACCATTCCATTTCCATGAATCTTGCTTGGAATCGTGTTCCTGTTGTGTGACTCAGTTTGTGCCAGGCTTTAGCTGTGGGACAGATGGCCTCACATTTGACTCTAGAATACTTTGGTATACAGAGGAGTTCATGTGCGACTCACTGACTGTAAGGTACCCAGGTCTTGTGGGTGCTAAACGAGCCCAAATCATCACCCCTTCACCATCATCATCATACGGGGCTATCGTGGCTCAAGAGTTGGCAGTTTGTCTTGTAATCGGAAGGTTGCCGGTTTGAGCCCTGGTTCCAACAGTCTCTGTCGTTGTGTCCTTGGGCAAGACACTTCATCTGTTGCCTACTGGTGATGGTCAGAGGGCCCGGTGGCGTCAGTGTCTGGCATCCTCGCCTCTGTCAGTGTGGCCCAGGGCAGCTGTGGCTACAATGTAGCTTGCCATCATCAATGGGTGAATGACTGAATGTAGTGTAAAGCGCTTTGGGGTCCTTAGGGACTAAGTAAGGCGCTATACAAATACAGGCCATTTACCATGCCTGATATTTTTTATGAGGTAGTGGTTTTCTGCAAACATGGTGCTGTGCATTTTAGCCAAACATATCGATTTTGTTCTCTTCTGTCTAAAGGACATTGTTCCAGAAGTCTTGTGCTCTCCGGCATGAAAACTTACTTCAGAAACAATCATATTTTAACTATATTTTAACTTTCATGTATTTCGATTCTTTACTGAAGTAAAGATGATAAAGACATTCAAGTAATAATGGGAAGGTTTAATTTAAAATACGATGAAGGTGTCTAAAATAAAAAATATTTAATATGCAAGTGATCTTAGTGGGTTCTGATTAAATAATGCTGCACACCATAGTGTTGCAGCTGGAGATTAATTGAATTGAAATACTCCTGGGTGGCTGTATCTGTTATAACAGCATGATACGTTAGCAGTTTTATATTTTAAAATATGCAATATAATAAATAAGTAAAGCTTTAAAATAAATAGGTTGGAGTACAAGGGACAATATGTATAGTGGTGTTGAAAATACAGGGGAGTAGAAGAAAGTATAGCATAAAAATACCTAAAAAAAACATCAGAACTGTACTTCAGTGAAGTACTTGTTACGTTACACCTCTGGTCCTGTTTATACTTTGATCCCCTGCTGGACTAACAATACTCCAGTTCAGTGACACTGACAGGGGAGCAACAGGGGGGCAATCGTTTTTCAGGGAGGGATGGTACAGCTCAACTATAATTCCATCCATACATCCATCCATCTTCCTCTGATCCACTTCACACCTACAGTGAAACCACTTTAGAGTCACCAGTTAATCTAAAACCCACACAGACAAGGATGAACATGCAACCGCCACACACAGAGGCCTCAGGCGGTCAGTGGATTCAAACCCAGAACCTGAGGCAGTAGTGCTAACCGCTGCACCACTGTGCTGCCTACTAAAACCCCATGTATTTTAATCTAAGAAACAACCATAAGTCATATACCTTTGATTCCATTCATTCCATGATTTTGTCTCTGTCCATTAAAATGAAACCACCATAAAAATCAGAGGCTCTTCATGTTTTTTTGTAAGTGACCAAACTTACAAATTCAGCAAGGGTTCAAATAATTACTTCCCCCATTGTAAATAGCATTATTAACATTTGATATGATCAGGTCTCTAAAAGAGGAAGACACTTTAACCTCAGGATACTCTCATACTGACGATCGATCACTAAGGACATTTGATGCTGTTGTTTAGTAAAAGCGTCTTATTTTCCACTTATTTATGGTGGTTATCATCAAGGTGGTTATCCACATGTGGGGCATAGAGCAACTGCTTGAAGTTGTGGACAAGTGGAACTATATGGAGTATTTTCTTATTTATGACATGAAAGTTTTTTGACTGTACCATTATCCACTGTCTCTGCTAATGTTGCAGTTTCCTACTGTGAGTCACCCTCAAACCTTGGAGCGAAGATACCTGGGAATCATCGACGCAGCCCTGCTCGACCTGCTGAAGGTGAGGCGAGCCGAGCGACTTTAATGGTTTTATTCTTAACTTTTGTCTGTTTTCAGAGTATCGTGAAAACGTCCAGTTAACCACAATAATTTTCATAAACTAGACATCTGATAGTTGCATCATTATCACGGTGTTTACGTCGTGACTGCACGGTGCCTCCTCCCTGCTTCGGCATCTCTCAGCTCATATCCTGGTTCCAGTGCTGTTATTGCTGTGTCTACACTGTAAACAGGAGCTCCATGTCAAGAATGTAGGCTGTGCTTGTGCTCTTGCGCTTTTCCCAGCAGATAATGACTCACAGCTAACATGATGATGATGATGCCATCTCAGGACTGACTTAAGCAAGGACAGGCGTCTCTCTAAGAACTAATCGGGCTTTCTTGTGTTGAGTTCAGATAAAATTGAATAACGTTTGTTTGCTAATCGTTAACGCAGAGCTGCACGGCTACCAAAGAGCTTCTGATGTTGACCCAAAATGTAGCTTCCACTGTATATTTGTGTTATTCAAAAACAAAGCTGCATCCAGATTTCAGTTTGAGTTTGTTCATACATTAAAGTGAGTTCAGAGAGACTATTGAACACATTATTTGGGTAAGAAAAAGCAAATGTCACAAATCACATTTCGCATCATTGTTTGGCTCGTTTGGTGACTGTGAGACACAATTAAATGCGGCAGCAGCTCGACTTTTATGATAATGGAGATGATTCATAGTAGCACGACTGTTTCGGTTTGTTTGAGAGGTCTGCATGTTCGGGGTGTCTTCAGCGCTCACGGGCTCCATCTGTGTGGTTTGTGGTTTAGAACATGCTGCTCCTGAACCCCACCGAGCGCTTTCTCACAGAGCAGAGCCTGAACCACCACGCCTTCCAGACCCTGCGGATGGTGGAGCGGCCTGGGCCACCCACACCCACACCTGTACGCTCCTCTAAGAGAAAACCTCACCACGGAGACAACACTACCCCCAGCAGGTCAGCAGTGAGCACTATATTTGGGGAAAGCTTGCCAGTGCAGATGTATTAATGGGTCGTTTCATGAACAAAATGCTGCCAGATGTTTTTAATCAGCAGCCACCATCCAGCAACATTTGACAGGACAGACAACATTTCAGGATAATTCATATATTGTCTGTCTGGTTTAGTCTGTAATTATTCTGCATCTCAGTGCACTTTTGTATCCTAAATTTTAACTAACGCTTTACATATTGAAATAAAGACCTTGTTTTTGGAAACTTTTATTCACTTTATTTTTCTTTGCTGTTCATATTACCAAGACAACAGTGAATTAAGATTTTTATATCTAGTCTTTTGGGAGGTTTTGATGTACTTTATGCTACTCATATTCTTCCATCACCCTGTACTTACACCAAACCTCATCCAATAAATAAAAATGAATAGCTGATGTTTTTAAAATTTCTATTGCAGTGTTTGGCCATGATAGTCACTGAGTGACAATATAATGTGACAGCATCAAGTGAGACTCGTTTAGCTGTATACTTAACCCTTTAAGACCTACCATAGAACCAAGTCCGCCAGAGCTTATATTATATTTTTATATGTTGTAGTGCCATTTTTGGGAGCATTTTAAGTTGATATACATCAATACAACCATTAT